GAGATGAAATTGTGATTTCCAGAGGGTTCTATTGGAGTTGTGTGCCACCAATATCAGGATGTTTATAAGTAAGATTGTTAAAAGTGTGTCCTATAATTACCATTAAGTTTCAAAACATGTCGTTTTAAAGTTTCAGAGCAGATCAGAATGAAATAAGAAATGTTTTTGAAGAAATGTCCCAGAGGAGATTATGAACATGCAGGTTATTTAACGACGGACGCGCGACAAACGCAGAGCATATTGATTGCGTTCGATGAAGGTTATGAAGGTTTTTTTTTAGTGGGGGGGGGGGGGGGGGGGGGAGGGGCTTCAACACTTAACAAAATATACCTATTGTGTTTAATGGTAATTTGTTTTCGTCTTGAAAACGCATGCAATATTTGCCACTGGACGTAAGGGTTAAACACAATCAATCAATCATCTATTACTGTTCATGTTATACTGCATGTAAAAAAATAAGGAGATGTGGTTTGGTTGCCAATGAGACAACTGTCCTCCAGAGTTCAAAAGAAGTGGATGTAAGCAAATATAGGCAACCGGGCTACCTTCCACAATGAGAAAATTCAATCCGTTTAGTAGGCTATGAAATGCTTCGACCTGAAAAACGTGACACATTTCTATAGAGAAAATTAACGGCCTAATTTATAACAAACAAAAAAAACAAAAAGTAAATATGACAGACACGAACCAATGACAACAACTGAACAACAGGCTCCTGACTTGGGACAGGCACATAAAGAATGTTGCGGTGTTAAACATGTTTGTGAACTTTCAACAACATGTGACAGTGTTGCAATTTGTTAAACTCAAAAGATCTGTACAAGGCACAAAACCACTAACATAAAAACATCAGACATAAAGCTACGAAATATGAGTACTCGCAGTTACTGAAAGCTAGCTCAAAGCCAATTACAACTAATAAATAAATAAAGTTCTCCAAGACTAAGGAATGTTAATGTGTTTTCCATTTGGATTTTCTGTTTTACCTATAATTCCGTGGTATTTTTGTTTCATATGGTGATAATCGAATTCTCCGAACCTTCTCAACAAGCACCCTCTAACAACAGCACAAACATGTTTTTCAAACGTATTTTGAACTGTTTTGGAGACCATAATGAATTCAAATTCATAAATGAATAAATGCATTTTGTATCAGTTTGCATATTGTATTTAAAATTGCAAAGAGAAGACTAGAGGACATATAATAAAATTACACTAAATCAGACTTACGTTGTAGAAACTACCCTCGTGAAACGCTTAATATCTAATAACATACATTGGTTTTCATGTTGTTCTATGATTCTGGCATTGAAATTCTATTATCTGAAGAACAAACCAAACAAATGCAGAAAACTAATATTCACGAAATAGAAATTAAATGGAAGGAAAGTTGTAAAAATAATCCTACATGCAGTTGTGCTCTAAACACTGTCAAGTAAGCAGTATTGGTGATTGATAGCAGTTCTAAACTGATTTCGTCTATAATTAAATTTAGGTAATGTTTCTATATAAATTTGATTGATTCCAGTGTTACGTTTAAATTCAAACGTGTATCATGTTACAATTTCATTAACAGACTCAAACAAGCATCTATAACCATGTCAGGTGTCGTGTCTACAAAATAAATGTATATCATACAATGTCAATTATGCTTCAAGAATAATACCTCCTCTATTGGCTAGGGAGCCGCATTCTGTGCGCACTAAAGAACCTTTGCAAACACTCTTTGATGGATCTTAACGTTGGTCTGTATGAAGACAAAATATTTGTCAATATCCAACATAACTATTTTTTCCTGCGAGAGTTTAAACTTCCAGTCTTTCATTTCGGTCGACCCACTTTGCAGACCCTACCTTTTAGATTTTTTATTTGTTTTCATCTTGAATATGCAATATTTGACACTGGACGTTAAGCAACCAACAGTCAATAAAATTATTAATCTACCGTATGCTAGATGTATTCTTCTTAGACATAACGATCTACATCTTCAATCAGAAGTGATCTCAAGGGAGTTCGGGGTACGGGGTACAGAATAATGATATGCACAGGTCTGATCGAGGTTGTTTGTTTGGAAGTACAGAATGTATAAATACTTAGCCTCGTCTGTTTGGAAAGAGGAGTAACAAACTAATGCTCCGTTTTGAGAGGGTGTCTTGAACTCCTCACAATAAATAGCCCTTTTACCAACTCTTTGACACGTTCGCAACTGATCGGTAGAAAGATGAGATTTCTGTCCTTTTTCAAAACACAATCTTATTTATGCAAATTTAAATTTTTCTACCTTAATCTAGGTCGATTTGCTGCAGAATCTACGTACTTGTATTTACTTCTTTGTTTAACGTCCAGTGGCAAATTAAATGCATATTAAGGACGAGAACATGTTATTGCAATATGAATATGAACCCTGCTTTGTGCTAGATCATTGCGCTGAGTCGGATTTGTATAGTGCTAGTTCACACGGTAATAGTTCGCAGGAAGACATATGTCACCCTACCCGGACACAATATTCTTACGCCGAGCTGACCAGTCTGCTCATACTCCTTAACACCTTGTGCTTCAAGGAAAAGACTTTGACTAGGTCGGGGATAAAATACACGACTTTCCGCACTCGAGGCAAGCACGCTACTTCTAGACCATCGAGGTAGTCTTAAGCTTAAGAACTATTTATATTAGAATTTTAATAAGAAACAATTAACCGATCAAACGAACATTTAGGATAAATCGACTGTAGTTAACTAACAGCATACCATATCATGAAACCAATTTATTGTCAAGCATGCCATATTTGCCATATGATCATTTAAATGTAGGATTTGATGTTGTTGTGAAAAATTGATCGCTCCTTTAATTGAGATATCACAATTTCACAAATAGTCCCAGACATGAATGATGTTATCATTCTTCAGTATACCAGAGAACATTTCGCATGTGAAGCATGCTTTTACATTAAGCCATATTAAAGGGTATAATTCAGCCTTAAATTGCTCATTCCCCCGGAAACTTAATATTATATATATGCTATCTTGGTATAAACCTAGAAATTATATATTAATACAGTGTCTGTATTTTCTGAATTTTCTAAGCGGTTTTCGTGATATTTTACTTCAGCAATTGTCACACATTCAGTACAAACCATTGCTTATATCCAGTTAGGTAGAGTTATAGTTATAAAACTTTTGGTTAAACGTCAACATGACGGCTAACTAACATTATGAGGAGAATTCAATTCATTCAACAACCGTATTACATATCATCACAAGCTCTAAGTAAGTCATGATGAAACACCAACAGACGACAATGATCTAAGATCCATGCACGTAAAGTAACTTAAAGATTTGAAATATCGGATTAAAATACATCAAGTAACATATATTACAAAAATGGCATTATATCATGTGGGATCAGACGAAAAAGAAATTTTTCTGACAGACTTGATATCCAATAGATGATAGGATCAAATATCTTCAGACAAATATCAACAGTAATGAAACTGAAATTGAAATCATAAAAATATGACTGTGTAATAGAAAGCAATGCCACATATTAGTAACAAAGACAGCTATTTCAAAACAGATTTAAAGCAAATATAAAACACGCATCGACGTTCTTATTTGTTCAAATCCATCGTTTAGAATCTTTTTAATCAATTGTCCATTAATATTTCATAAATATGAAGAAATTCATATAAATTAGATTCCTTTTGTTATTTGTAAAGTTGTGGTTATCATGGTTTCAGCAAATAAATTTTACACGTTTTGATGATACATTAGTTTAAATGTCATTTGTGCGCTGAATTTATTGACTAACTTTTCCAGACACGTCACCGTGGAATTCATTTATTAACCTGTCTAGACCCGTCACCGCTGAATTATTTATTAACTTGTCTAGATCAGTCACCACTTAATTTTATTTACCAAGTTGTCTTGATCCGTCACCGCTGAATTTATTTATGAACTTGTCTAGACCCGTCACCGCTAAATTTATTTACCAACTTGTTTAGATCCTTCACCGCTGAATTTATTCACACCTTAGGTTGACCAATAACCGCTGAATTTATTCACCACTTATTGTTACTCGGGTCATTTTAGGTCTTTTTTCATAAGGTGTAGACTTTTCATTGTTGAAGTATTAGTGGTTACATCTAAATATTTTTCGGATAACATAATTAAGTTGTTGGGTTACTTTTTGTCATCTCGTTTTTCATAAAAATAACAATCAAGTTGATTATCAAATTAATGGCATCACAATCTAGTTAGTAGACTTAATAACTATATCGTGCCTTATATATTTTCAGACTAAATGACTTTTTGTACATATCGGTATTTAAAATAATGAAGTGGTGCATATATATAGTAATTACCTTTTATTTAACAAGACATTTGGCGTCTTAAGATGAAAGGTCTAAGGATCGGTAATGCCAACATTTTGTTAATGTAAGCCAAGTCTTATCAGGGAGCATTATTAAATAGTTCTTGAAGACAAAACGATAATTTAAAAAAAAATATCAAATAAAAGGCGATGTCTTATCATTACCAATGAGACAACTATTCACCAGAGACCTAAGGACGATGCTGTTAACAACTACTCTGCTCAATAGGGCTTTCAGCAATGAGCAAAACCCATACCGCGTAGTAATAAGATATAAAAGGCCCGGCTTGACAAAATATGAACAATTAGACACCGATTCAACGGCCTGATTTACACTAAAAACAATAAACGGTAAACAGACATGGCAGAAAGCAAACAACGACAACCACTGGGTACAAGCTCCAAACTTGGGACAGGTACATAATGAGCGGAATGGGTTAAACATGTGTGTGAACGCTCGACCCTCCCCTTACCTGGGATAGTGATGTAACAGCAAAACACAAGGTTATGTCAAAATCAGTTAGAATTAGTATGAATCAGATTATTAAAAATACATTTGGTAAATATTTTTGTTTATGTAAAATCTATGAAAAGTTAATGAGAATTATAAGATATTAATTTTTATTTTCCAGATATTATGCCATTGTGCACCCATTATCCGCCATGAAGGTTAATAGTAAGTCAAGAACAAAGAAAATTATTGCAGTTACTTGGGTCATTCCAATAGTAGTGGCATCACCTTATCTTTATTGTAAAAATTATGTATTTACAATTTATAGTGATTATGGCATGATTTCACGCCAGATATGCTCAGATAGGTTTGATGAACTAGACGGCAATACGGGAACATTTAGGAGAGTTTTCTTTATTCTTTTATTCGTCATTATGTATTTCCTACCCATGATGATAATCATTGGAACTTGTACAAAAATAGCCATGTGCTTGCTTCGACCGATTGTGATTGAGAATACCCATCTTCGAAGACGTGATTCAAAACGGAGAAACGAAGTAAATAAACGCAAGGTGAGATACTGTTAAATTTGGTATTGTTTACTAGATAGAATCATGTGCAAAACAGTGTAGCCGAGACCATTGATTGGCGCGCTAAAATATCCCATTGACTGGGTCAGATTCGGTGAACGTTCGTCTGTAACGCCCACAACTCACGACGTATTTATTATAAACATTTAAACTGTGGGGTCACCAAAGGGTCTCAACGCCTAAATAAAATAATTCGAAAAATTAATCAGGAATAACCTTTGTGTTTTGATTTATGTTGAATACTTTAACGTTCTTTACTTGTGTTTTTGTTATGTTTTGATAATGAATTTTTATGATATCGGACGTTCTTTCAGCAAAAAAGGATTTAACTGGCTTTAAAAGTTACAATGGATGTGTTGATTATTATCTTTTTTTCGGACGTCAAAGCGATTTAACAATTGCGGTTTTTCCAATTATGTCATCTTTTAACTTTTATCTGGTCAAAATTTTATTTTAGAACGAATGCATGATCAACTTTAAAAAGTGTGCAAACACAAAACATATAGACAAATATACTTCTTTCCTGTCTTTTTCGTACTTGCAAGTTATTGGACAGTAAAAAGGCTATTTGGATCAAGCCTTGTGAAATTTGCATTTACGTTTTTGAATAGGTAAAATGTATAGTTTGGTGATCTTTTCTGCTAACTACTATACTTGTGAAAAACCCTTGGCAACAGAAACATATTCAGCTTTTTTTTTAATCGACCCAATTTACATAGTAATGGACGACTTCGTACATTTTATGATCGCAAATAAAATATGTATATAATATACTGTGCACTGTAGTTCGTATATATACTGAGACCCTTTGGCAACCCCACAGTTTAAATGTTTATAATAAATACGTCGTGAGTTGTGGGCGTTACAGAGGAACGTTCACCTAATCTGACCCAGTCAATGGGATATTTTAGCGCGCCAATCAATGGTCTCGGCTACACTGTTTTGCACATGATTCTATAAGGGTTTCAGACTGTACAATCATGATGTTATACATGACAGACGAACACGTGGAATTAAACTTTTTAAGAACGAAAAATTACTTCCTTGTTTGCACAATTTATTCCTTGATAAACATGTTTAACTGTATCCTTAAAGCGTATAGTTAAGAGTTGTCTGATTATAAAAACACTTCTACGCAGACCTTTGAGACTGTTATAAAATGGTCATTAAGTGAATTAATTGATTGCTCAAGTTTACTTCCTTGACTGTTCTTAGTTCAGTGTTCTTTGTTAGAAGGCTTACTGTACTTTTACGTAAAAACCCAAAGAATGCATAAAGATCTTTACAAGCGAGACAAACTTAGATTGCAAATAGAGAACACATTAAACGAACGAAAAAGATTTGGCAATATGAACTCATCAAAACCGGAAGTGATCTGAGCAGCTCTGAGAGGATAAGCACATCCTTGCGCCTTTAATAAAACATTCATCTAATAATACGTAACACTGAATAACTTGTATGTTTTCAGAGATGTTGTAATACATGTGTATATTTATTACATAATATAAAGATCACACTTCAGGTTTATAGGCAAACCTACAAAGTAACCGAAGTTGTTTGCCTTAAGCAGCAAATAATACCAATCGGTGCTATTTGACAAAATGAAACATTTCAAATACAATTATTTTTGATTGAACAAGATATTTCAAAAAGCAAACTGATCTTTTACACAAATTCATCACCAGGTTAGTTTTCTTGAAGTTATTATTTTTTTCAGACTATCTGTGCACATTAACGTTGAAAACAGGAGATCTGCAATTCATATTCATTATTACAATTATATGTATATTGAAATTTATTTGAAGCACCTGAGATATAAAATAAATACACATGACGGCCACCCTCTCAACCTTATTGGAGAACAAAAGAATAAATCTAGGTCTTTATAAAAAATATATGATAATTCGGGAGAAAAAAAAAACTTTTATTTGTACAAAGCCCAAGTGACAATTTTAGTTAAAATTCATTTCGATTACTCCTTATTTTTTTTTATCATTTCTTAAAATCGCACAGGACTGAATCAATAATTTAAAAATGTTTGTTTTCCGTATAGAGAACATGCATTTTTTGACGAATATATAACCATGCGAGTGTGTCATTTCTTTTTAACTTGGGAATTATTTATTAAAAAAGCAATATTCCAAAATAAAGTAAGTATTTCGTGAAGTACGAACAAATTAATTGTCTCAGCGACAATAATAAGGAACAATTGTATTTTATTCGGCTCGTGAGTAAACATTGCCTTGATTGAATTGTCATTCTTCGCTGTCAACGCTATTCACTTTTACATATATTTACAAGTTATGTATTTACGAGAGCAATTTTCTCGATTGCATGAGTCAAGTGCTATTGAGGTGGACGTTTAAGTAGGCTATTCGTGGCAGAGTATTTAACTAAACAAGATAAATGGTAGACATAGAAGCCAGATAAATGTTAAATAATTCACTGTCTTTCTACTTTATGACGTTTTGGCATTACACACCCGGCTAATATTTAGTCCGTATTAGTATTAGAAACGATCAAAAGTAAGTGCGTTATTTGCTGAAACAATTGTTCCTTATTAGCCTGTATCTTCCGATTTATTTTACTACAAACACTTTTATATCTACCGTAATGATAGCCGGTAAAATTTTCAAAAAACCAAAAGAAGAATATAAAAAGTACCCTTCTATGATTGTACGATTGTCATAATCATAAAAGGGTACTTTTTGATATTCTTCTTTTGTTTTTTTGACAATTTCAAAAATAAAATTGAGAATGGAAACGGGGAATGTGTCAAAGAGACAACAACCCGACGAAAGAGCAGAAAACTAATTAACTGTTGGTTGTTTTTTTTTCATTCAAATTATACCTTTGATTACAGGTAGCAAGAATGGTAATTGTAGTTGCAGTAGCATTTATCGTAGCTTGGTCACCACAATATTTTGTTAGCATTATAAGTCAGCTTCAAGAATCAAGTTTCTTACGGGAGGAGCAGTTTCTTTTTACAATGCTGATGACACATCTGTTCGGATTCATCAACAGTTGTGTCAATCCATTCATTTATACGGCTATGAGTGAAAAGTTTAGGAAAAGTTTCCGGCGAACTCTTGGAAAAGTATTCTGCAACTATTATTGCAGACAGCGACTGTTTTATAGAGGAAGTATGTCCCAAAGGCGTTCAACAGCTATCACTACTCACGCGTCGTCATTTACGGATCCCGAAGCAGAACCGTTGCGATCCGATTCAAATTTTCCTCGTTACAAACTTCAAGTTAAGGCTACACCTTCACGTAGTAGTAGCAGTGATGGAAATTCAAGTTGTCGATCAAACAGTCGATTGACTAAAAACGCAACAGGAAATTCAAAAGAAGCATGTAACGGAGATGAAAATATTGTAGTAAATCCTAAACAATGTCATGTCAGGTTTAAACCTAATCATATCGACATTCCAGATTCAGATTCTATGTCCGGCATTAAAACATTCTCGACAGATGACAATCCTACCATGTTACAAAAATGCTCTAGGAAATCACCAATTACTACAAATGGATGTGCGTATCATGGTAAAGACTCTGTTGATTCATTTTCATGATTAAATCCATTTCATAACGTGTAATTGGTCCCTGGAATTAATCTGTGATAGAATATTCTGGATTGTAGATAGATTATTTATAGTTAAAAAAAACATATCAAATTTATAACTTAACAGGAACGTCCGTATTATTTGTTTTATGTACAGATTGTTGTATTCAATCATAAAGTATTATTTATTAAAGCAGGGATGAGACTTGGTTAGATCCGCCTTTTAATATCAACATAATACATGTTTGGTCTGATTGTACAATGAAATTCAGGATAAAGAACCTATCTGAAAACTTTAACAGTATTACCAATTACGGTACTGATTTGTTTAAGTCGCAAGAATTAAATTAAAAAAGCATCCCTTTATAGCTATACCTTCATTCTCACTGCGCGTGCTAACTTTACTCTCGTCCTAATTATACATGATATATATATGTCGACATTTTGGTCCGTTAAGGCTTCCTATAGCAAAGACATCAAAATTCACTTCACCTTTTCAAATTCACTTTTCCAACCAAGCTGCAAATTTATTTTGAATAAGAGTACACACGCTGAAATGTCTCGGCTGCTTTACTTATCATGATTGAAACTATGTTGAAAGTCTGTAATATGATGGTTTAACTACAAGTATCACATAAACTTAACATGATCAATGCTCCATGTAAATGAGGTCAAGGTCAGAGAAACCCCAGCAGACAGACATGTACACCTTACAATCATAACATACACGAAATATAGTAAGCCTATATATATATCGCTTATGGCATTTGAGAACAAACCTAATTACGAAAATTCACTATTGACCAATGAACCATAAAAATGAGTTCAAGGTCAAACATGTACACCTTACAATCATTCCATACTAAAAATATAGTTAAATTATTACTTATAGTATCTTATAAACTGACAAAGCCATTGATTAACATTGACCAATTAACAACGAAAATGAGGTTAAGGTCATATGAAACCTGTAATACACCGACATGTACACATGTACAATCATACCATACACCAAATACGGCTTACCTTTTACTTATAATAGTTGAGAAACCGACCAAACCACACAAACTTAACATTGATCCGTGAAATAATGTCGAGATCAGGTGAAACTCTGACTAACGGATATGTTAACCTTGCAAGGATCCCATATACTAAATATGTAGTTATCCTAATACTCATAGTAAGTAAGAAACTATATTTTTTTTAAAAACAGCAACCAAAGCCGGGCTTCAAAGTTATTGTGAATCTACCTATTCTAGTGATGGCGTGAATCAGATGTGGATACTAAAAAAATCCAAAGATCTTTTAGAGTACATACAATCTAAGACTCGTTCATCTTGCAATAGTATTAAACATTTGACTTTTCTACACTTTACACAAGTATTCCCCATTCCAAACTAAAAGACAAATTGAAAGATTTGGTCTTGCTTTGTTTCATAATAAAGAACGACCAACGTAGATACAAGTATCTTGCTTAGGGAGGGATAATCGTACTTTGTAAATAATCACTCTGATTCAAACAAAAAAACCTCTGAAACTGACATTATCAAGATGCTTGATTTCTTGATTGATAACATATTTGTTACGTTTGGAGGACGTGTTTTTCAACAAACGATCGGCATTCCCATGGAAACCAACTCTCTTCTTGCCGACTTGTCCCTTTACCCCCAACCTCATGACAGTGGTTACAAAGCTGCTTGTCAGTTTCAACTTTATTTTGAATTAGGATTAAACAATCTGATTATGTAGTAGCCCCTTTTGTAGTTTATACAACATTGTCATTTATTCGTTGAATGCAATCGATATGAACCTAGGAAGTCTAATATTATAGGACTAGGGGTGTAGTGATTTTTTTTTTATAAAACAATAAAAAAGATACATAATTGAGTTTGAATCAAGTTGAAATGAAAGCAAATTTCTACATAGATAATATCTTTGTTCAAATGATACATACATTGTTCCTCGAACCCTTAAATCGTCATTTCTCTGCCGACCCTACATTGTTTAAGTCGGTGCGACTTTATCCACCAGCAACATATGTCCACAAAACAAAACTCCTGGTACACAAGGAGACCTTCTTGCTTTAAGACGGTTCACATGTTCTTTATTGAGAGCTAGAGCTAGTTTCGAACTTGGCGTCTTATTTTTAAAATTACTTCGTTGATGAACTTATCAGTACAAAGTACTTGCAAAATCTTCGTTACCGTGAAAACTAAGAGTTGTTTAAATTTCAAATTTCATCAAGGTCTCTTTTGTGAAGCTGTCTGACGGGCTTCATAGTCGACAGAATAAGAGGTCAATGTATTCAGGTTAATTTAAGTTCTGTGGAACAATGGGTAAATGTCTGGTTAAAATATATCTTATCTTTGATGTGCCGCATTAGCATCCCTATAAAGTAAGACAGTCTGTGCGTGACCCATGACATACGATATTGTATGCATTTCATTGGCTATTTTCTAGCAAAATCCAGACTATACTATATCAATTAACGTGAAATTAAGTTTGATTTTAATCTCTGAAAATTTGAATAAACTGAGCTCTTGGACAGATCTTTTCGGGACGTCGGGTTGGGCTTATATTTTTGTGTGAATTCGGGATTTACACTTATTGGGACTCGGGAATCAATGATTAATTTTTCGGGATTCGGCATAAAATGCTTTATTCTTTCGGGATTTCGGTATTCAGCTTTTGTTTTTTTTTCCGAAAACTCGGGATGACACCCCTCCTACCTTCTCTCACTCTCTTCAACAGGCAATGTTGAGGAAAAAAGGAAAATCATCTTGTATGAGAATTTGAATTAAATTGTTAAATATTTTTATATTCTTATAAAATCACAAAAACAGCAGATTTTTTGTATTTCTTTATATGGAATGACTACAAAAATGGGGTGTATAAGACTTCCCAAACTTAATCTACAATTCCTGTTCGTTACACTTTTAATACCGAAACAGTTAGAGATATCAATATATATATATTTTTTTCAAATATCGATTACTGGTTCCCAACTAAATGTCTAAATATATCTGGAATATTTCCCCTCATATTGACAGCTATCTGAAGTCGGCCCACTGCTCGACAGGATCGGGTCAGGACGCCAGGCTAAGTTCATAGGACCTCAGTTTAATATAGGCGTGGCAATTCATCACTTTTATCCAATCAACTGTCTTTTATGATAAAGATTGGCGTGCAATTGTAGTCGAAACAATGTAATTTATATAATGACATTGTAAAAGTTTTAGGACACAGTTTCAACAACATCAATAGGTAATGCACTTTATTGTGGAAGCTGTGGACTACTGGTTCAAAATAAAATTGATTTCGAAAAGTTGCTTTGGAACCACTGTCATGATGTTGGGTGTATTTATACATGTATGGGACTGACTTCATACAGGAACTTCTTAGGAAGAAAGAAAAGAAGTTAGCAGTATCCTTTAACCTCTATATAGATGATGTTTCCCCACTAAATAATTCAAAATTTGCTGACTATGTTGAACGCATCTATCCAATCGAACTTGAGATACACGAAACAACAGATACAATTAAGTCTGCCTCATATCTTGACTTAAATCTAGAAACTGACAATGAGGGTCGGTTGAAAACAAAACTTTAAGACAAAAGAGATTATTTCAGCTTCCCAATTGTGAACTTTCCATTTCTATGTAGCAACATTCCAGCAGCGCCTGCATACGGAGTATATATCACTCAGTTGATACGATATTCCAGGGCTTGTATTTCCTATCATGATTTTCTTGATAGAGGTTTGCTGCTCACAAGGAAGCTACTAAACCAAGAGTTCCAAGTGGTGAAGTTGAAGTCATTCCTTCGTAAATTTTAGTGGAGTAGGATCTGCTTACCCTTCCGGAGCACCTGAGATCACCCCCAGTTTTTGGTGGGGTTCGTGTTGCTCAGTCTTTAGTTTTCTATCTTGTGTTTTGTGTACTGTTGTTTGTCTGTTTGTCTTTTTCTTTTTATAGCCATGGCTATGTCAGTTTATTTTCGACTTGAGTTTGAATGTTCCATTGGTATCTTTTGCCTCTCTTTTTTCAAGAAATCGCTTAACCATGAAAATGAGGTCAAGGACAATGGACATATGACAGACGAAAACGTCGTAACATGATGCATCTGCATACAAGGTATGAAGCATCCATGTCTCATACCTTCTGGAGTATAAAGCTTTATACAAATAGTTTATGATGTCACCGCCGCCTGGTAGTAGTCCATATGTCTCGCATTCTGCAACTTTTGTCGCAGGTGAGACATTAAAAAGAAGCTATTTATTGGATGGATTTTAAAAGTCCAACTAGTGACACACTCATAGCAAATTCGCTTACAATGCAGTCGGGTTTTGTCCATTTCAAGGTTCATGCAATTCTCATTTGGAAATTAGAAATATCTTGAATATACAAATATGAAGACGTGGTACCATTGCCAATGAGACAACTTTCCACCCGACACCAAATGACGTAATAGTTCAACAATGAGCACACCCCATACCGAAAAGAAAGCTATAAATGGCCTCGACGTGACAAAAGTAAAACAATACAATTGAGAAAACTAACTCCCTGAATTATGTAAAAAACAACAAACGAAAAACAAATATGATATACAACAACTGACACTGACTTGGGACAGACACTTACAGAATGTTGCAGGATTTAACATGCTTGCGGACACTCAAACCGCTCCCTAACCTGGGACAGTGGCTGAACAGCACAACGTAGTTACAAAATATAACAATTAAAAGATGTGCATGTTTCTTTTAGGCAAGGATGAAAAATTTGTTTGTTTTTTTTAGGATCTTTCTTTGATTTCACATAGCAATTGTTTTTGGTTATTTTTCTTATTACATGTATATTATTATAATTATTATCATCATTGTATGACAAAGCCTATAGCACATCCTGGTTTAAAGGCTTTTATGTCAGTTACGAAACGTGAACGTTAGAGAATGACGTCAATCACATACATTGTAATCGTTAATATTCGATATAATCAACAGAAAGATGCTTATTATAGTGTTTTTATTGTAAATCTCGAAATAATTCAATTGTCAATCGATGTTCTTTAATAAAATGTTGAATTAATCCTATATTCTCATACATTCATAAAGAAAACGCATATGAAGATAAAAAAAGACATCGGCGTCATGTGGACTCTGGTTGGTAGTTGTCTCGTTGACAATCATACATGTAC